CGAAACAGCAAGTTGAATTAGGTCAAAACCAGGAAAAATATTTTTATTTGGTATATTATTTACCAGGCAGAAAAGCAAGGTTTTCCAATTATGCGGCCCGCGAGCCCGCTCCCTACAGGCTATGCGGACCCGCTGACCCAAAACTTTGGGCACCCCTGATCTAAAGGCTGGTGGACCAGGTTTGAGTATATAGACAGGTTGCATTGGGCCTTAACCTATCTGATCCTGAACTTTGTATATGCATTAGTATCCTCTTCATCTTCTTTTCATGGTTTTGTTGCAGTCTATTCAAGAGTGATGTTTGGGTTTTTCTAAAGCATTAAGGAGTTGGTACAGGTCACAATGAAGAAGCAAATATTGCATCTTCACCAAGATCTGGTGGTTCTGCTGAAGTATAGGCATGCCTGATGAGATTTGCAAGAAAGACATTTAGTCAAACCAGTGTGACCTCTCTTTTCCCTGTCTAGATAGGCTTCAGCCCAAAGGCTGAAGCTTCCTATAGTTTTTGGTCTGTTAGGAATACATGGATTCCTTTGGAGGAGAAAGAGCTCTTTGACTTAAAGGCCCCTTTGAGTCCCCTAAATGAGATTTGGGCCTTACTCTCCATCCTTATGGACTTCAAATATCTTGAAATGATTAATGGTAAGTGCTTAGGTGGGATGAACCTGCTTTGATGGCAATGGTCATGGCATTTATCAAATGATGGCATTATAAGATATTCTAAGACACAATGCAGACAGATAAAGTAATTGTGATTGGGCTATGATGATTCATTTTTTAGATCAAATTCTATAAATTAGCTTGAGAAAATTTGAAACCAAGTTATTTATGTCTTTCTGTTTTACGATTAATCCATTTCCTTTCATTTTAGTTGAAAATCTTGAGCACTGTGACTTCCTTGCCCTGAGAAACATGTTGGTGTGCACACACATGATGGATCTGCTGGAAGTGACAAATAATGTCCACTATGAAAATTACCGCTGTCAGCGCTTGTCTGGCATTGGAAGCTCATCAGAAGGGCATCATGATTCTCAGAAGAAGATGGACTTACGTGGAAACAAGTAAGTTCAATGTGCTGGCTCATGCTTTGGCTGCATGCTGTTCTATTTTTTTCATTGTGGTTGTAAGTTCTTATGATCATGTATAAATGTGAGCTGATAGGTATGGTGCATTTTTCAGAGCTTGATTTGATTATGAAACTTAAGAGCACAATGCCTATATTGTATTTGAAGTACTCCCTCATCCTTCTGACAAGAAGTTCAGTTTCACAAGAATTCCCTTCAACCATATGAAGTATTTTAGGTGAGCATATATAAAAGATGGAGTTACAAAAAAGAGATATGAAGATTTTGCTGCTAATAGCTCAAAAAATTTGTCCTCTGGAATCTTAATTGGCTGTTATCCTTGGTCTGGAAGTGGAATTTGGAATAGAATTATGTCTTTAGAGTAATGTGGATACATCTGACTCCTTATCAACAGTTTTTGTTTTTTCATGTAAGTGCTAGCATTGAAGGAGTAATGCATCAATCAGCCTAAAAAGGGCCATTGGAGGGATATTTTGCACCCTATTTATTAATTATTTATTGCCATTAATGTTTTTGATCACAATTATTCCTAGGATAGGGGTGATTGTATTTTCAAACAAGGTAAAATAGGCCCAAGGTAAATGGCCAAATTTATAGGGAAATACTGAAAATCAAATGCAATACATTGTAGAGGGTTAAGTCCATTTGGAGATTCCATCCATGGCAAATTTATCATCACCATCTGCAACAGCCATTCTATGTTCACTTTGCAACTCATGGTAAAAATGTCAGTGGTCTTTCGTTTAAGGAACTCTGTTGGTGGTAAGAAGAAATCACCATGGTCAGTAACTTTCAGCAGATTTTACTGGAATGTCAGCGCTGGAGCAAAGGGCAAAGATGAAGCTCTGAAAATCATTCACTGAGACTCGGGCTTTTGCAGCAAATGTACCTACGTACAGCAGGTACTTGCTGCAGATATTTGTGTGTACATATTTTAGTAAAATCCACCAAAAGTTACTAAACATGGCAATTTCTTTTTATCATCACCAGAGTTCCTTAGACGAAAGACCACTGAATTTTTATCATGAGTCGCAAAGCGAACATAGTTGACGCCTGCAGAGTGGCCAACAATTTCAACGAGTGTTATTTGAGCTGCAGCGAAAGTTCTGTTCCTTTTTGATCAGTCTAGTATTACTCCTTATGATGCTGTTGAGCTTCCCATATGCTCTCCAACTACCATTGCTCCTATTTAGCTGTTCTGGATGATCTGGCATCATTTGTACCAGTTGTCTGGTTCAAACACTCTTTTGTTTTGTTTTTTTGTTGCCTAGGTGGTTTTGAACATTGAACATTTGTTTTCCTCACTGCAGTTCTCCGAATAAGGGCAATGTTACTAGAAAATTGGTTATCTGTAATTTGCCAGGTTTTTTCCCTTACTGTTGATGCCTTTCTTACCTCGCATCTGAAGTTTCTCTCTCAGCTGATAAAATGGTATATTTGTGATTGCTGTGAATCTTCTCTTGAAGCCTGCCTGGTCTTTTGATTACTTCATTGTAAATGGTCCTTTAATTTTGCTCAGGTTCATAGTGGAGAGAATGTAGAGATAAGGCAAAAGACTTAAGAGTTTATAGTACTTTATCTTTTGTGTCCCTTTTTTTGCTGTGAGATCATCACTGTATTCATCCATACCCAGTGTATTTGTTGTCTAGTTGCAGAATATGAGGATCTAAGCTAACTGTTGATAACTGTCTCTTCTACATCTTAATCTTTACTGTAAACCAGAGGTGGAAAAAGTTATTCTGCTTCCTGGTGCCTATGATTTACCTTCCCAGTCTAGTAGGTGTGTGAAGTGACCCTGTGTTTGGGGGGTGAGCTGAGGCAAAATATCAATTTTACACCACTACTAGTGATTCAATGAAAACGCCTATGTGTAGGCCCCAAGCAGGATCTGATGGGGAGTGCACAGAGGGGCATAGCCATTCAGAAGCTCCTGGCACTTGCCAAGAAAATGGAAATGCCCACTACTTCTTCCTCCAAAATAGAGATGAGGAGCTTGAACTAGGAGTTCTTTGGCTTGGCAAAGGGTTTCAGAGTTCAATCGGGGCACTTCATGGCTAGACACCACCAGATATTCTATCAAAGACAGGACCTGGGCCCAAATAAGGTTGCTTGAAAAATGGCACAAAAGGAATAATTATTAATCCATCATGTATTAAAAAGTAACACAAGGCAGAATGCTGACTGATTTAAAGAGCAAAGGACAGGGTTTCCAAGGTGCAACTCTGGGATCAATATCTCTTGTGTGAAATCCGCTTTCAAAACTATAGTCCCATTTTCGTGCCGATGACAAGGTGCCTGTTTACAGTCGGGTGAATTAGATCATATTTTATGTTTCCATGTAACCCTTTAGCACTTGTGATATTGTTTTGGTTGAAATGTTCAATTTTCATCATGTTGCAACTTGATGAGATGAGCAGCCTTGATGAAATTCGCTGCTGGATGTTCCTGCAGTGACAGAGTATATGCATTTGACATTGGTTTTCTTACCTTCGGCATACATAGACCATATCAAGTGGTAGGCCTTATTGGACCACATCCTTGGCAATTTTATTTGTCAGTTGTTGTCATTCCTCTAAATCCAGCTAATAGCTCTTGAATAATGCCTCAAGTTCAAATAAGAGATGGTGTAATAAATCATGGTTTGTTTAGTTTCTGCTTACCAAGGATGATGAATTCCTTCATGACAGTGTGGTGAGTTCATATCTTCCATTTAACTGTCATTACTTGAGCGATTTTTTCAGGTGAGTTTGTTGTGATCTAATCTAAACTATTTTCCTTATTTATGTTTATGGATGCTTTGTACAGGAATCCCCTTGCTCAGATGGAAGAGGAGAAGAAGGAACATGAAAAGAAGATGAAGCAGATGGAAATTGAAATGGAACAAGTTTTTGAAATGAAGGTTCAAGAAAAGAAGCAGAAAATGAAGGATGTTGAACTTGATGTATGTTTCCCTTTGCTGTTTAGTAAATTTTTTGAGGATATTGGCATACAATTTGAATTGGATTATTGTGGATTGTTTTGCAGTTACAGCGGAAGCATGAAGAGAGGATGCGCTCTCTGGAAGCTCAAGAGAAGGAGTTAGAAGAGAGAAGAAGAGCCTTTGAGATAGAGCTGAAACAATGGGAAACTGCCAATGGGGTTACTATGGAAGAATTGCGGAGACGGAGTCTTGAAGCCAATTCCAAAGAGTGAGTAAATCTGTCCCCCTTCATCTCTGAACATTCCAGACTTGATATAGCAATAAAGTGACTTGCAAGTGCAAGTCACTTTCATGTTTGCATGAAATAAACCCTACCAAGTTTTGTGACTCAGAACCTCATTAATTTCTTTGATTCATGCAGGACTGTGGATGGGAAGGAGAAGGGAAAGAAGAAGAAAGGACTCTTCTGAAACTGAATGTTGATTTTCTTCTTGACATTATCAGAGGTGAACCTGCATTGTGTATATACATGCTGTCTGAGAATTGCATCCATGTGATGACAGCCAGATGCAGCCAAATTTGTTTCTCATGTTTACAGATGTGAGGAGGAAGCTACACAACCCTCTGCTCTTTTTCTATTTCATTTTTCGTACGCTTACCATACTTTGACCACGTGTGAGAGGATATAAAGCTTCCTTGTCTTCCTTGCTCAACCTTGTGACTTTGTTCATGTCACTTTTGATGGCAGTTGTATGACATAAAATATCTGAAGTAAGGGGCCATAACTCAAAGGGTCTTATTTATTATGACACTATAATGAGGAGGTTCAAGGATATTTATTAGCATTGCTGGATTGCATAGTATTGGACTCAGAGCATCCAGTTAGCAAAGGATATGATATCAACCTAATAGGCCATTTAAACCACCCTTTAAAATCTGCTGTGATTGTTCATGATAACATTGTCAGCGGAAAACTGAATCTTGACAGAATGTGAACACTATTGAAAATGTTTCACAACACTACCTCAAAGGGCCTTGGAATTATTTGATGCAGGTGCATCAGAGCTTCCCAAGTCATCAGCGGCAGTTGCATCTTCAGACTCGATGTCAGGATCTGGAACTCCAGCTCTTCTGCGAATGTTATGGAGTATTTCACATGCCACAACTACTTTGCATCGTTTCTCTGGTGCAATATGCCAAGATTTGCATGACTAGCTTAGTCACACTTAGAGGTCACAAGTATTCCAGATGATGCTGTGATGTGTTGGCCATTTGGCCGCATAGTCAATGAAGATATCAGAGTTGCAGGTGCCTTGAATGTTTATTGAATGAATGAATTTTCTGTTTGCATAAATTTCCCCATCGACAGATGGATAGATGTTTCTGAATAGTCTGTAACAACCCTAATACTAGTGAACTCTTATTGAAGCAATTTTAACAATTTCTTGTGATGAATTAAAGCAAGCTATTACTAATTGCCTCTCCCCATAATAAACACAAGAATGGAGGAAGTCATAGCATGAACAAATACATGAAATGCAGGAAAGTCTTACTGTTATTAGGGCCAGTCCAAAAATATCCAGATTTATTCAACATACTGACATTACCACATACAGGGTGGTCCACAATTGTCTCCCCATGAGTAAAAGCTTATTCCTCAGGAAGTATACATCCGATTTCAATTATATATGACTCAAACGATAGCCAATTCAATATATTTTTATTGTGGAAAATTTCAGCGTTTCATAAGAAAATAGAACAAACTTGCATTATAACAAATTAAAGTACCTATATCATACAACTAAAGCCTGTAAATATCACAATCCCTTCTGAAATTCGCAATTCATTCATGGGTTTTTCATGCATCGCTGGATGGTGATGATCGCATGGATCATGGATTTTCTGTGTCATGGGTGACCTCAGTATCCTGCAGAAGGCAAATTTTGCCATTTGGTTTGATAATTTGAAGAGTGCAAATTTTTGCGGGGAAAATTTGGAAATTTCTTCAGTTTGGGTCCAGATGCCTCAGTTCCTGATGAGATCATGAAGGCAGCTCATAAGAGGTTTCTGAACCTGAAAAGATTCATCGGCAGACCTATGACAACCTAGATATACTGAAACAGGCCATTAGAGATGATAGAAAGAATTCTGGTGGCATTCAAGTAGAGACTGCACCAAGTCATTGAAAATTCTGGAAGTCATGTTGAACACTAATGATTTGGCGGCTTTCATATGTAAGGATCTAGCTTTGTTTTAGTTTCTTATGGAATGCTGAAAATTTTCACGATAAAAATATATTGAATTGGCTATCGCTTGAGTCACATATAATTGAAATCGGAGGTACACTTCCTGAGTAATGAGCTTTTACTTTTGGGGAGACAATTGTGGACCACCTTGTAGATTAATCAATGTTTGCACTACTCCACAAAGTTAATATTGTTCTCTATGCATGATGCATCAATGCACGAGCTTAGAAAGGCCCTCATGAAAAAACTGGTGGAGCATTTAGGATCCATTGATGTAGAAGTACAGCAGTTTCTACGGTGTTGTTATGGTAGCGATGGTCATGCAATTCCCTTTCATGGCACCAGAAGTGCAGAGGACTGCATGGACGTATGGAGTAGGACAGGCTTATGTCTGACTCTTGCATTCTGTGCCTAACGCATACAACAATCGTATAAACGCATTAATGCTGTCATCTTCCTTCACCAGGAACTTAATGATCACCCGTCATTCCATAGCAAGGTCCGTTTTACTTTAGCCATATGCTCCAACCACGATCTTGCTTTGCCCTCTCGGGACATATCTTATCCCATTATTAATGTTCTACTCAAATCGCTGTAATTATAAAACGATCCACACAAAGCATCTAATTTTTTTAAATACGTATTGTTCAAAAGCTGGAGTTATGAACACCGCTCTATTTTCATTTTCACGCATATAATAATTCATATATACATATATTTTCAAAAATTTTCCATTGCACAAATATTCGTCACTGAAAGGGTTAATGTTATTGTATTGTATTACTGATATTGTATATGGTTCTGTTCATGGGACACCATCCCTCGGCTGTCTCTCCTTTTCACTTTGGGGGAAATGACCAACATTGCAACATTCACTTCCATGTCCTCATAAATTATTAAGAAATCACCATAAAAGTAATGAGTGACTAAGAACAAGAAACTGCTGATTAGATTCTATCTAGATTTGTAAAGGGCATCACTACAAAGTTGCACTTGATAAAGTAGTGCTTGTAGATCAGTATTTTCACAATCCTGTGGTGTTTAGGTTTCTTTGTAGTCACACTGTCTCTTCATATTTTAATACTATCGCCACAGTATGTAAACCATTGAAAACCAGTTACTTAGGCAGCTTCTATTCCATGCATTAGTTATGCTTGAGATTGAAGGATCAAGAAGTTAGGATGAAGTTGAAGCATTGGAGATGAATATGGAAAACTTGGGAACTTCTTTTTCTGGGACATCCAGACACAGTGTCCCAGAAAAAGAAGTTCGTAACTTTAAATGGCTGCAGAAGAAGCATTATACAAACGTTACAAGGTGTCGCATCTGGCCCTGTTAAATAGAAATATTTGGGAGGGGGGGGAGCGATTCACAGATTGTTTCACAATGAAGAGTTTCCCTCCCCTGTAGGAGGCAGCCTGGAACTATATCAGAAAAAAATGCTGTAGCTTTAAACTTCATTGCTTCCTGCATCTTCCTGTTCTGGTCACTTCCCTTGCTAGCGAGGAAGGGAGGATTTAATCGTATTGGGTTTCCTTTCGAGCCATTGCTAAATTCGCACGTCACGAAGATCATCCCCAGGTAACACAGAACATTGAATCAACAGGGATTGTATGTGGATTGAGTGTGCCAATGTTGAAGGTTGAAGGTGAACATTGTTTCAATGTTGATACAATGTCGTCGCATCACATTGTGGATTCCAATTGGGGAATATTCGGATTATATTTATTAGATGTGGCACAATTGTTAACCCCTCTTAAAATGATAAAGGGTGGGATCTCTCCAATAGGTTTTCGGAGTACTCTCCGACCACAACATGGTTTCGATGTGGAAAAAATGAGACTCCACAATATTGAGTTGCATGCCATGTATTCATACTCATTGAAGAATGTTGAATGAATGTTGCCATCAATATTGTTTCAACATTAACAAGGAATGTTGAAACAATGTTGATAAAAATAACATTTTCACATTGAATCAATGTGGTACCTCAATGTTGTTTCAACATTACAAATGTTGCCACGAAACATTGTTTCAATGTTGTTTCCACACGGATGTGTTACCTGGGTCCTGCTCTTACACTAAGTTCTCATCCAAATTTGTTGCAAGTCAAATGATATGATGAAATGCATTTGGCGCACCCAGATCTATTTCCATTTCAAGACAAGCTGTCCCAACATCATGGCTCGTTATGACTGCTCCACAAAGTTCATTTAGTCTCCACCAATATCTCAAAAGGAAATAACTCAGACCTTGTGATGCTCGGTCTCGTACCTATATCTAGTAGTACCCCACATCCTGTCCCGTACACATGTCCTTTCCATATCAAGGTCCCCTCATCCTCTATCTCGGCTTTTTGTTGAAAAATAGAGGGCTTAAATTTCTCCACCTGTTCTTGTGTGACCCCCTAACGTGTAAGGCGCATCGTACAGGACTGCACTGGATTACGTGAGAGGACCATGACCTGCGTTTTGGTGACGCTCAATTTCATTCTGGCTGCAATACATTCCGCGTCGAACCGATCGAGTACGCCCTGAAGCTCTTGTCTAGACCGAGCCCAAAAGACGCCATCATCGGTAAAGATAAGTATCTTTGTCTCGATGCCACCAATGCTGATACCCTCGAGGTCCAAGCTACGCCTACAGATCCTATCCATGTACACGAGGAACAGGAAAGGAGAGAGAATGCAACCCTGGCGGAGTCCAACACGTACTGGGAACGAGTCGCTCATCCGGTTCACTCGAACGTAATTCCTGCAATCACTGTATAAGGATTGAATGGCCCGCAGCAGTCGACCGTTAACCCTGTACTCCTGCAGCACTCCCCGCAGCTTCCTTCGAACTACACGGTCGTACGCCTTTTAGAGATCCACAAAACACGCGTAAATCTCTCCTGGAACCTGGAATATTCCCAAATTTTTTCGAGGATATGGTGAAGAGTGAAGAGCTGGTCCATGGTGCTGCGCCCTTGGCGAAACCCGCACTGCTCCTCGTGGATGGCTATCTCAACGACTGCACGAGATTTCTTTTCGAGCACCTTGACATAGACCTTAGCAAGGTATATATACTTAGGAGAGCGATTCCACGGTAATTGGTACACTTCCTCGAGTCTCCCTTCTTAAATTGAGGAATCACCACACCGGTCCGTCAATTCATCGGTGTCATTTCCGATTCCCATGCGGTTCGACATATTTTATGCAAACACGAGCACCGATCGATGCACCTTACTTTCAGTGCCTTTACCTGGATTTCATCCACGCCAGGAGACTTTCCATTCTTCAAGGTCGCTATCGTTTGTTGAACCTCCTCCATGGTGAGACTATTCTTTGCGCGTATAGACTCCAAGTAGGGTACATCTGAGTCCTCGGGTTGGTTTAAGAGCTCCCCGAATCGCCCTTCCCACCTTTGAAGTACTGTACTTCCACTTCTCCAACTAGGACCTTCCTGTTTCGGTCATCATGAGAGTATGTAGCCTACCTTACCAAAGCCTTTGGTTTGCAAGAACATCTTGTTAACAGTGCTATAGTCATGTTTCTTCGCCGAATTTCTTCCATGCTTCTCGTTTCGCTTCTACTATGGTTGGAAAAAAAAAAACTTATTCGCGCCTCTGTAAAACGGCTTTAAAGGGCCCGACCTACTGGACATATATGAAGGGCTGAAAGGCAAAGTGGTCTATCTGCAAAAAATTTCCGAAAAAAGTGTTGTGGGTTTTGTGCTCATAGGACTTTGTTCTTTTCATAGAAAATTATAGTTTTTTGGAATTAAGTAAAGGATGAAGTGATCTATCGATACATACCATTTTTTTCCTCACTTTTAACATGATGGTCACTGGAATATTCACTCATTCCGTGTGGAGCTTCAGGAAATAATTTTTTGCAGATAGGGTAAAAGACCCAGTGATGGGCCTGTTAAGGGCGAGTACTCAGTGATGGGCCACGTCGCAGGAAAATTACAAAAAACTAGGCATCTATGATCACCTCTGAAGTGTGTATGTGCTTGAATGCTGCTAGCATATGTCACAACAAAGGTAGGTGTGCCATGGAAGCAAAGCAATTGGAATTTTTATGTGCTGTGGCCCATCACTGGGGACTGGTCCATCACTGGGTCTTTTACCCTATACCACTTTGCCTTTCAGCCCTTCATATGCCCAATAAGCTGCCCTCTCGGGAGCAACAGTCAGCCGTTCCTTTGGTGTCCAACTGAGAGTCCGTTAGGCCGAGTTCATACTCCTGCTGTACAGCATGCTGGATGCTGCAACTATTTATACATACTGTCAAATTCAACATCCCCATGTTGTATTGGATTTTGCCGCTGTTGCACATGTTGTACAGCACGAGTATGAACTCGGTCTTAGGTGTTACCACGAGCCAATCCGATTCACTTTTTGCCATATACTGCTGCAGCCGAAACGTCAGCTCGAAATACTGTAGATCCCCTTCGATCCATTAATGGGTCAAGACTGCTAGCCTCCGGAAATGGTGCCCCATTCGTGAATTCAAATGCAGAACCAATATATTTATTACATCCTCCATCCCTGCCATGACGAGATTGATGAACATTGAACCTCTCGACTAATGAGTGTTCATTGTATCCATCACCATCTCGTGACGTTGAAGCCTCCTCTCCTTGTCCCCTTCTTTTGACTGAGAAAGAATTTGCTCCGCACAATGTCTTAATACTTGAAGTAAATAAATACAAAAACCCTACGAAGCTTCATCGTTTCCAACTCCAGCATTGAAGGCCCCCTACCAGCAGGACGAGGTTGCCGTTCGGGATGCCCCTAGTGCCACGCCCACTATCCATCCACCTCTTGGAGGAACGCGTCGTGGTCCGACTCGTTTTCGGTCCGTAGACCTGAACAGCATACAGGACCCTGATTCTCTCGAAACTAAGGAGGATCAGAGCGACTCGCTCCCTGATCGGTTTTCATTCAATCACGCTGTCTGCCAGCTGGGGGCTAATCACTATCCCCACTTCCGCCTGGGCGAACATGGTGGACCTACTCCATTCCAGTAGAGTCCATCCGTGATTTAGAACGATGGAACCCCGGCCTTTCCTTTCGGTCGATGCTAAGTCGACTAGATAATAGTCTACGTTTACAAGCCTCTTCCACGAGTTGCGGCTCTTTACAGCCAAGTGTCAACACGTTTCAAGTCCCCATATCCATTGCTTACTTTGTTCTGTTCTTGATCTACCATTGGGACATCGTTCGGAAAATACGCTATAGCCGCCCAGTTTAAAATCCCAGCTGGAAACAGCTATAATTTCCAGCTGGACTCCAGCTGTAAATTCGGACCCATTCCAACTGGGTAACAGCTGGAAAATAGTCAACTCCAGAGTTCTTCCTAATTGCAATATAAACCATCTGCATTCCAGTTGGAAAATTCCAGCTAAGAAACAACTGGTACCTACTGTTTTCCAGCTCTTTGCCAGCTGGAAATGGTCCGAATTTACAGCTTTGGTCCAGCTGGGATTTTAAACTGGGCGGTGGCTGGCCGACCGATCGGTCCGGAAGTAGCACGACGGGGTCAGACACACCCTGAAACATCGGATTGCTCGATCCCTGTTGTCAACTTATCAAGAGTCAACCGGGAAACACAATGACTATTGTGGTTCTTATTATCCTGGGCTACGACCGATTCAGTATGAAACTCCTGAGCGGAACGCGTCATGCAAGTTTTGGTTCGGCTATGTCACCCTCAACAGGAACGCCCGTATATACATACATATACAGTATTTGTAGGACCTGGGCTATACCTGCCTTCCGAATCACTGGGCACTTCGCGACGTGGACGCGCGAACCGAGGAGGCATTGTTATCTTGAAAATTGAGTGATTATTCCAAAGCAAAAATTAAATTGAATTTCTTTTTGTTTCCCCGTTTAGTTTATCTTGTGGAATGACCCAAATCTCGGCAGTGAATACGGCAGGGGCTCTGTGTGTTGTCGGCGTGGTAGCGTACACAGTGCACACACGGCCAAAAGAAGAAATGGCGGCTCGCGCGAAACTGCTTGCGAGTGAGAACCGTAAGACTTGAACTCGCGAGTTTATGTGCATGAAACTGCGAGATGATGATCTCCATTATTTCCATTAGTGAATCTAAGTCAGTGAGAGTATTTTTACGAAGTACGGTTCATATGTTTTGTTTGTTTGTTTGTTTTTTTTTTCGAGTGTGCAAACACGCTGACAGGCACATCCTCGAGGTGGCCTAACTACTGCAAGAATACTCATGTGAAATGCCTCCTTTTTAGTGCCAGTCTAGTCTACTTAGGCTTATGGCACATACAGTGTTTTTCACTTGGCTTCGACACGCATGCATGAGGAATGTCCCATGCACGAATGTCAGAGTCAAGTGAAAAATTGTGTAAGCTCTTATCATTAGATTAACGTAAGTACGCGAAAGTCGACCCGTGCACGAATTTGGACGGAATTCCGGTTCACTTCACGGACCTCACCATTATAATGACATACTGCCCTCTGTGTCTTCGTCTTCGAATCCATGTTTTAAGCGAACCTTAAAATGTGTCTCACAGAGAATGCATCGTTGTTAATCCATATAGTGCATTTCAATGCTTCTTGCGATATCATTACTAATGATGCAAAGGCTTTCAAGCTGATATTGTAGATCACAATCCAACTTTTACAGATAAACACACTCACGACCCTGCGTGAAGCATTCGTTCAGTATGGAGCCTCTCTTGTGCAGCACGTCACTGTACTAAGGAAATGGGCTCGACTTTCGCGTAATTACTATATACGCTCATATACGCACGATTGCAATCGAGCTGTCTTGGTTTGACTCCTCAAAAAGCCTTCGACATAAATGGTAATGGTTAAGCGCGTTAATTAACTGGTAACATGCTACATTGATTGGGATTCCTTTTATTTTAATTAACACTACCCTACCCTAACCTGGCCTAACTTTAGGAGCAGCACCCCCAAGGGGGTATGCGTTTAACTGTGATCAGTCGTGACTGCCTTGGCCAACTAGCTCAGGACACATTTTTGTTGCTTATCTGTTGAGTTGAAATTCTCCTCCCCTTTTACTGCAATTATTTTCTTTGACAACTTTGAGTCTCAAATAAGGTAAACATGCCTGGCATCCTGTGGTAGCTGAAGAAAACTAAATGTCCAAGTTGGCTCGATGAAAGTTTGATTGAACATTAAGTATATAGAAATGATTTGCTCAACTGAAGGCAGTGGCTTTTTTCAGAGTGGAGGGAATGTGACAGCCCTTAAAAGCTCCTAATTCCCTCCCTAAGGGAATCTTTTTTTTGCTTCTGAGAATCTTCTTTCTGAACTTAGCAGGTTCCCCCCCTCTCCCCCAACTGGCCTTGGTAGCCCCCCTTGGCTCAGGAGCCAAGGGGGGCTGTACACAAGGGGCTGTACAGGGGGCTGTACACAAGTACAATGTACACAAGGGAATACCTGAGGGAAGAATATGAAAATTTTATTCAGGGAATATGGTGTAATAATCACAAGTTCATTATGCTAAGAAAATGATGCATTTCCCCCTAATGCTGACTTCAATGCAAGTGCCATGCCATTTTTCATTATCTTCCATTGTATGTGTAAACCTCACTCCTGCACATCCTGCAGGAGAGGACTGAAGTGGGAGTTCATTCCAATTTTGTGTTGTCAAGTCTTCCTTGATAGCATTCACCACTTTGAACTCCTAGTCCCCCTGAACCAGAGGGACCCACAGGACTAAGAAGCACCTCTCTAATAGAATTGCATAAGGATAAATATAGGTGGGAGTGTCAGAGTAAAAGATGCTATGTAATGAAGGCATAATCCAGGAGATTATTCAATGACTTAGCATTATACCAAAAAGCCTTGTTTCCTTGTTAATTTAACCCTGTTAGTGCTGTGCAGCCTATTTTTTGACCACATGTACTGCTAAAATGCCATAGGTAGATTTTTCAGCCACAGCTTTTCATTAGGTTTCTTCCTTCATGTAGTTGGGGTTCTTGTTAGATGGCATAAAAATCAGTCTAGCATTTTTGGAAGTAGTAGACATGCCCAAAAAATCAGCTGTGTAGTACCAAAAGGGTTACTGTACAATTATTTGAAATCTTATTTGAAATCTGTAGATGCATTTATTGATTAATTAGTGTTTTTAACTAGAAAGAAGTGGTGAAAGACTCATAGGAAAAAGTTTCAGCAGTGTGGATATGGAAAAAGGGTGTATGTGCATAAACACTTTCTGCCTGCATCCCAGCAATGTGAGGTAAAGAAAAATATTAAAACCCCAAGTTCAAGTGGGAAAAGGTCTAAGATACCATTTTACTGATAATTAGGTTTTGACCAGCTTCAGATTGGCCATGGGAAGTTTTTATAGTTTATCTCGAATTGCATCTTTTGCACATATGCCCTTTTTCTAGAGAACTCCTCAATTGCATTTATGAAGGTTTGTATGGCATTTCTCATGCTGCCCAGGTGTTGTTTTTTTGTAAAATAATAATAGAAGAGCATATTTCCACTTTTTTTTTTTTTACATTTTTGTGCATTGTGTTACATATCAATTTTAATGGCTGAGCGGAACACCAATCATTCAATGACTGCCCGTCATCTTACTCTTTAGTGCACAGGCTCTTAAAGTTACTTGCAGTTATAGCTTCTTCTATATCAGCTGGTAAACTATTCCAATCTCCTAGTATTTGTGTGTATGAGTGAAAGATTCTTGTCCCAAATTTTTACCTTTTTAGGCTTATGTGACTTCAGACTATTTCTTCATGTTGAACACATTGAATGGAAATGTCCATTAGCTACCAAATCTCTGTAGTACTATTGATGCTTTAACCAAGTTGCCCTTTACTTCTTTAATTGTCTCTACCTTATCATCCTGGGTTGCACCATTAGTTTTCATATCCATTTGCATTGATGGAGGTGGAGTGGAGAATGCTCCAAGGTGGAGCACAGTATTTTAATATCTGTCTGACCAATGCCTTATATAAGGATTAAACTATGATGCTATCTTAGCTAATAAAATAATGCAGGAAATATCATAGAATACTATTACATTTGAAAGTTTTAGCCTAAAAGTTTCAGGCTCTCACCAATTACAATTTCTAGGTCCTTCATTATGAAGCATGTTTCTTAAGAGGGTAGTCAGTAGTATTGGATTCCTGTACCCAAAGCACAATGCCTTGTGTTTACCTTCATTAAGCATAGTTAGGAATTCTTTTCTCCATTTTTTTTTTTGAGAGAGATTCTCATCAGCTCCATCCTGATTTTCAATCCAGAATATGTCATCAACAAGATTATTTCTTCTCTCCAGATTTAATGCCCTTGTCTTAAAGGCCCTGATACATGAGGCAAGAACTTGCTTGCAAGCACTTGCCAAGAGACTTGCCTCATGTATATACCACTTGTTTTGATCTAGCAAGTCCCAGCAAGTGCTTGCTTCCACTTTCCCCTTGGTTCAAAATCCTAGAAGGCTTGTAAGCTAGTCATACCCTGATTGGTTGGGAAGACACCAATGCATTATGTATGTGCCATCAAATCATCCATTTCATAAAACCAGACAACCTGCACAGGTCACGTCATTACCTTCCAAGCTCTCGCGATGGTAGGTTACTTTCTCTCTCACTCTTGCATTTTAGCAACCACTTCATCCATTTCCTATTGAAGAAACAGATGCACACTGATTCTATGTAGTGGCTTTCCTCTGCATTCCTTTGACTTTTCTAAATATCAAAATGGCCTTCCTCACGTAGTAGCATTGAAGTTGGACTCTGAAGAATGGAAAAAAGGAGTGGCCATGCATGTCTTATGTGTCACAATACAAGGCAGAACTCTCTTGCAAGAAGGGAATTTATTTTCATAAATTTTGTGTTGCAGGACTTTTACGCATTAGAATCACGAATCAAAGAGGATGAAATTTCACTCTTAGGTGATCATGTTTCTTAAAGAAAATTATTTGTCTGAAATGGCCCCTGTGCATTCGAAGTTAAATCATGGGAGATATATTGCTCTCATAATAGGGTATATCATCCTGATCACTGATGGAGCAGTTGTGGTACTCCTGCATCATAACAGTACAGAGACAAGGTTGACATGGGAGCCAGTAATAAGGGCCTCTGTGGCTTCAATGGAGAATTGGGGTGCCATGTCACACAAAATTATACCTAAATCATGGTCTGCAGGTATACAGAGACTAGACCTAGGTCAAGGACTGCAGGAATACAAAGACAATGACCTGCAAAAGATCTCTCTGACATCTATAGTAAGTGTGAGTTTTCGCTCTTTTCAATTTCGTTTCACAGATGCTTGACAACTTTCGAGCAAGTGGAGACAAGTCCTTGCTAGAGTCTACTTTCTTTGTGTATACCCTTGCTTGCTCCTTGTAAACAAGGACTTGCTAGTAAGTTCTTGCCTCTTGTATCAGGGCCTTAAGTCATTCCTCTTGGCCCACTCCTCTAGAAGGTCCAAGGTTCTGAAGATTGACTCTTGATGCACCCTGTAGAAGTGGACTTAGAACTGATCCTTCAGGGAAAGACTTAAGACTTTTGGAGCAGAGAAAAGATTTCCCATAAAATGTTGACCTCTATCACTTGACCATTCCTGCATCTATTTAGGATTTTGCCCTGAATCCCCAGGGATGATGGCTTTAAAATTGATCATCTTTTATTTTCAGTACTAGATTCATTCTGAGTTTGTGCAAAGAATCAGGGGACACAAGATTCCTCTTGGGTTAATGGCACTTCAATGTGGTCTGCCTTCTTGGCAGTATTGATTAGGAAACTGTCTTTTTTCCTGTCTAAGACCAATTTCACACTGCACCTGTACTGCATTGTACAGCATGCTGGTTGCTCAATGCAGTACACACCAGCAGTCTGGTAGTAGACTACAAAACTGCACACTGCATCCAGCAGATGCTATGCAAAATAATAGGAATGGTTTCTATTCAATCCAGCATTGTACAGCACCAACTTTATCCCAGAGAAACTATAGCATCCAGCTTCCATATGGCATGTTTTTTTATGCACTTCAGAATTGTCGTCCAGCAGATGCAGGTGCTAATGCATTTATATGACCCATAGAATAGGAATTGAATTTCCAAAGGATACCATTGGCAAAATACTTCAAAAATCCTTCCTTAGATACAGAATTGTGTTTTCTTTCAAATGGTAAAAACTGCATCTCAATTAGATCTAGTGTTGAGAAGTTATCAACATTCAAAGGGTGGGCAGGGCTTTTGACTTGCCCTGTAATTTGATTTCACTAATACCCAGATGGAGGTGCAGTAGACATACCTCACAGGTGGCAAAGAAACAAACTGAATGAAGAATCTTGCTGTAGCTTTGGCTTGAATCTGTGTTCCTCTATCACATCCAGCTTATGAACTCTAAAGAATAACCTCACTAACTGTTCTGTCTTTTATATCCAGATGTCATAACCCTCCAAACCTTTAATAGCCACATGGCTATTGTTAGGGTTTGCAACAACTTGTGATAGGGAGGGAATAGATGTAATTTCAAGTGAATGGGATGGTTTTATGCACATAAATGGCCATGTGTGCAGCCTCCACAAAGCCTCATGGCTTCCTGGTGAAGTCACGCCCCAAGTCTTCAGGGCTCTCTAGAACACATTCTGGATCCACCCATTCTCATGGTGAGTTCCTGATTGCAATAACCCATCTATATGAAAATTTTGGCCATAAACTCAGAATGCCTTGTGCCATGAATCCTTCACAATATGTAGCTAGTTATTTGTGAGTCTTTATACATGCTCAGTTAAATGTGTTCTTTCTTCCATGTCCTGCCAAGTAAGCATGAATAAGATTGGTTCATTTCATCTGTTCTGTTAAAGAATGCCAAGTGCTAGTCAAGTACCTTCTCTGACTGTGAAACTAAACTCTTTCCTCTCACTGCGGTGCACACAGATAAAACAAATTTCATGCAAAAGATGGTTCAATATTTATTGAAACCTTTATGAACACTCTCATATTATTTCTATGAATGGGTGTGCAAGTCACTGCAGGCTGAGGCAGACACATTCCAAAGGAACCTGTGTATTGTTTCTCACTTTAACTGGTAAATGGCATGCATTGTGTACAAAGATGGCACACCCATTGCTGTCAGACCTGCTTGAAAAGCAATATGGAATAA